AACCACACAGTAGGCTGTTAATTCAAGTCCGTTGAAAGTCCCAAGGTCGGCAGAGCATGGCAGGCTGCTGAACAATGACATGGCTACATGCAGAGTTTGAGTGTGCCAGAAGCTAGAGACTATTCTCAAAGCTGTTTCTTTCATACGGGAAGCAGACCACATACCCAAAGCAGCTACTCAGCTGCTCCAGTAGATTCTACCATGGAGTTAATTACCAGTCTCACCGTGGGGAATAACTACATTCAACTGCCCAGCCACTCAAGCAGGCCCAGCCAAGTTGGCACACAAACTTAACCACCACAAGTATGGTGAAAGAACACAACCCTGATGCACTCCCTTCCTGATTTTAAACCATGCAGTATCCCCTTGTTCTGTTCAAATGATAGCCTCTTGGTCTATATACAGGTTTCTCAAGATCACAATTAAGTGTTCTGGAATTTCCCATTCTTCACAATGTTACCCATAATTTGTTATGATCTACATGGTTGAATGCCTTTACATAGTCAATAAAACACAGGTAGACATCTTTCTGGTATTCTTTGCTTTCAGCTAAGATCCATTTGACATCAGCAATGATATCCATGTCCTCTTCTGAATCCAGCTTGCATTGCTGGAAATTGCCTGTCAATATACTGCTGCAACTGTTTTTGATATATTTTCAAGATTTTACTTGCATGTGATATTAATGATATTGTTTGATAATTTTCACATCCTGTTAGATCACTTTTCTTCGGAATGGGCATAAATATCAATCTCTTCCAGTCAGTTGGCCAGGTTGCTGTCTTCCACATTTCTTAGCATAAATGAGTAAGCACGTCCAGTGCTGTATCCATTTGTTGAAACATCTCAATAAATATTCTGCCAATTCCTGGAGCCTTTTTTTTTTTTTTTAAACCTATTCCTTCAGTGCAATTTAGACTTCTTCCTTCAATACCATTGGTTCTTTTCTTTTTTTTTTTTTTTTAATTTTATTGTGATTGCACAAATGTTTACAGAGCTAATTCATCTTCCATACAGCAGTTCACATACACTTTGTCTCATGACATTGACCATAATCTCCGACAGTGCAACAGCTCCCTTCTTACTTCCTCCCCTCCATGCACTCCTGCCCCCTAAGATGTCCCTGTGCACACACAGCCCCTCTATTCCCTTCAAAGAGTGTATCTACCTAATGTAAATGTTCAGCCCATATGCCTGTCTTTTGTTTGGCTAGAAGCCATAGGAGTGGGTTCAATTCCAGACCTGAAGGGCAGCTAGGGGCCATAGTCTCAGGGGTTCCACCAGACTCTATCAGACCAACAAACCAGGTCCTTTTTTTTAATGATTTTGAGCTTTGTTCTACATTGTTCTCCTACTCTATCCAGGGTGTCCTACCTAGATCCCCCTTTGAGTGGTTGACAGTGGTAGCCGGGTACTGTCTAGTTCTTCTGGTCTCATAGATGTATAGGCTAAGGATCACATGGTGTCAGTCCCTCAGACTAATTGTTTCCATGTGTCTTTGGTTTTCTTCATTCTTTTCTACTCTGGCTGAGGAGAGACCCGTTGTTGCATCTAGATGGCCACTTGCAAGCTTTTAAGATTCCAGTTGCTACTCACCAGAGTAGGTTGTAGAACAATATTTTTGTGTAGTATGCTATGTCAATTGAGGTTCATGTCCCTGTGACCAATATATCATTGGTTCTTGATCATAGGCCACATCCTGAAATTGTTTGACATTGATCGATTTTTTTTGATACAGTGACTCTATGTATTCCTTCCATCTTCTTTTTATACTTCCTGCGTCATTCAATGTTTTGTCCATAGAGTCCTTCAGTATTGCAACTTTAGGTTTGAATTTTTTTCTTAAGTTCTTTCAGCTTGAGAAATGCTGAGCATAGTCTTCCTTTTTGGTTTTCTAACTCCAGGTCTTTGCACATTTTATCATAATACTTTTTTTTTTTTTTGTCTTCTTGAACTGCTCTTTCAATTCTTCTGTTCAGTTCTTGTATTTCAGTATTTCTTCCATTCACTTTAGCTACTCTGTGTTCAAGGGCAAGTTTCAGGCTCTCTTCTATCTATTTTTGTATTTTCTTCCTTTCTTGTCTTTTTAATGACCATTTTCTTTCTTCACGTGTGTTCTTGATGTCATCTGGTCTTCAATTATTGGTGTTCATTACATCAAATCTCTTCTTCAGATGGTCTCTAAATTCAGGTGGAATATAGTCAAGGTCCTGTTTTGGCTCTCGTGGACTTATTTTAATTTTCTTTAATTTCAACTGGAACTTGCATATGAGCAATTGATGGTCTATTCCACAGTCAGCTCCTGGCCTTGTTTTGACTGATGATATTGAGCTTCTCCATCACCTCTTTCCACAGATGTAGTCAGTCTGATCTCTGTGTATCCTATCTGGTGAGGTCCATTTGTATAGTCACCATTTATGTTGTAGAAAAAAGGTATTTGCAATGAATAATTCATTGGTTTTGAAAAATTCTGTCATGTGATCTCTGGCATCACTTCTGTCACCAAGGCAATATTTTCCAGCTTTTAGTGATTCTTCTTTGTTTCCTGCTTTCATATTCTAATCATCAGTAATCATCAGTGCATGTTGATTGTATGTGTGGTCAGTTTCAGGCTGCAAAATTTGGTAAAAATCTTCAATTTCTTCATCTTTGGCTTTAGTGGTTGGTGCATAAATTTGAATAATAGTAGTAATAGCTGGTCTTCCTTGTAGGTATATGGATATTAGCCTATCACTGACAGCACTATACATCAGGATAGATCTTCAGATGTTGTTTTTAAGGTTGAATGCTATGTCATTACTCTTCACTTTATCATTCCTGGCATAGTAGATCATATTATTATCTGATTCTAAATGGCCAAAACAAGTCCATTTTAGCTCCCTTATGCCTAGGATATCAATCTTTATGCATTCCATTTCATTTTTTTACTATTTCTAGTTTTCTTAGAGTCATACTTTGTATCTTCAGTATTCTGATTATTAATGAATGTTTGCAGCTGTTTCTTGCCATTTGGAGTCACGCCTCATCATCAAATTAATGTCCTGAAAGCTTTTCTCCATCCACATCATTAAAGTTGATGCTACTTTGGGGAAGCAGCTCTTCGCCAGTTGTATTTTGAGTACCTTCCACCCTGAGGGGCTCATCTTCAGGCACTGTATCAGACAGTATTACATCTGTCCATGAAGTTTTCCATTAATACATCAGACAGTGTTTTACTGCTATTCATAATGTTTTCACCAGCCAAGATTTTTAGAAGTGGATGGCCCCATCCTTCTTCCTAGTCTGTCTTCATCTGGAAGCTCTGCTGGAACCTGTCTACCTCGGGTGACCCTGCTGGCATGTGAAGTACTGGTGGCATAGCCTTCAGCCTCATAGCAGACACAAACCACCATAGTACGACAAACTGACAAACTAGTGGTAGCTCAGTTGTTTAGAAGGTAGGAGGTGTCTTTGTACTTGTTATGTGCTGTCGAGTCATCTCTGACTCATAGCAACCTTATGTACAGCAGAACCAAACACTGCCCAGTCCTGTGCTAGCCTCACGATCCCTACTATACCTGAGCCCATCGTTGCAGCCACCATGTCAGTTCACCTTGTTGAAGGCCTTCCATGCTGTCGTTGACCCTCTGCTTTACCAAGCATGACATCCTTCTCCAGAGAATGGTCCCTTCTGACAACATGACCAAAGTAGGTAAGATGAAGTCTGGCCATCCTTGCTTTCAAGGAGCATTCTGGCTGCACTTCTTCCAGGACAGATTTGTTAGTTCTTTTAGCAGTCCACAGTACTTTCAGCATTCTTTGCCAACACAGCAACTCAAAATCATCAACCCTTCTTCAGTCTTCCTTATTCATTGTCAGCTCTTACATGCATATGAGGTGATTGAAAATACTGTGGTTTGGGTTAGGTGCATCTTAGATTTCAAGGAGACATCTTTGCTCTTCAGCACTTGAGAGAGGTCTTTTGCAGCAGATTTGCCCAATGCAATACATCTTTTGATGTCTTGACTGCTGCTTCCATTGGTGTTGATTGTAGAACCAATTAATATGAAGTCTGACAACTTCAGTCTTTTGTCCATCTATCATGATGCAGGTATTTTCAAAGTAATATACTAAAATGCAGCAACTGTGCTTTGAAAGAACTCTCATTCAGTCACCTCTAAAACAAAAACCAAACTCACTGTCATTAAGTTGATTCCAACTTACACCGACCCTATAGAGTTTATAAGGCTGTAAATCATTACGGAAGCAGACCACCTGATCATCCATGGAACAGCTGGTGGTTTTCAACCACCACCATTTTGGTTAGCAGCCAAAATACCTTAACCATTGCACCACCAGAGCTCCTTATTCAGTCACCTAAGCACCTGAAGGAACTCTGGTGTCATAGTGACTAAGGCATCTGACTGCTAGCAAGAAGGCTGACAGTTCAACCCATCAGCCACTCCTTGGAAGGAAGACTGGGCGATCTACTTCTGTAGAGATCCTGCCTTGGAAACTGGAGAAGGAATCACTTTGAGTCGGATTTGACTCGATGGAGGTGGATTTTTTTCTTTTTTTTAAGAACACTTGATTTTACCCTTAGTTTTACCCTTAGCTGTGGTGGTCAAGGCAGAATTTCTTCAGTGTTTACTTTCTTTACCAATGTCTGTAAAATTAGCAAACTGAAGCAAATAATTCAATAAAATCCTATTAAACTTTTCATCTATTTTGTCACTTTCATTAAAGATTTTCTTTTCTTACTTAAAGGAACCCAGGTGGCATAGTGGTTAAGTGCTTGTGCTAACTGAAAGGTTGGCAGTTCAAACCCACCAGGAGAAAGATGTGGCAGTGTGCTTCCATAAAAAAATTACAGTCTTGAAAACCTTATGGAGCAGTCTTCTCTTTCTGCCGGTCATTATGAGTGAGAATTGACTCGACAGTAATGGATTTGGGTTTGGTTCTTACTTAAAAGCCTTTTCCATTCCTCACTAAAATACTGATATTCTTTTTTCTTTGGACAGAAGAAGGTTCAAGTGTGGAGGAAATCGGCTTCAATTGGGGAGACTATTTGGAAGAAACAGGTGCAAGTGCAGCTCCTCACACATCTTTCAAACATGTATGTAAAGCATCAATCATGTCTTCTTTTAATCTGCATTTAGAGGGTTGGAGGTGAATTTATAGAGAGAGAACAAATGATCCATAAGAAAGAATGATGTGTAAAAGAGAGACATTCAGCTAAGATTTCTTAGATATAAAGAGGAAATGTGGAAGGTTGGTTCTCTTACAGCTTGTTCACCATGGGATCGGCTCCTGAAAGTGCCCTGGTCAGGAAGACATCTCACTTAATGTATGACTTGGCTTAGGGCACGTGCTCAGTGTGAATGAAATGGTTTGCAGTTTTAACTTTGTTATATACCTAGAAAGGGAGTCCTGGTGGCACAGTCGGTAAGCACTTGGTTGTTAATGGAAAGGTTGGTGGTTTGAGCCTACCACTTGCCCTGGGGGAGAAAGATGTAGCAGTCTGCTTCCCTAAAGATTTATAGCCTTGGAAACAGCAGAAACTCTGTCTTATAGGATTGCTATGAGTTGCAGTGACTCATTGGCTATAGGGTATATGACTAAGAGAGTAAAATGAGAGGTTGCTGTTACCGTCTAGGCGTACAGCCTGAGACAGGTAAGGTTAATTTGAATAAATAAAAAGCCAGCAAACTAGGAAAAGAGGCATGATGTATAATGTCTTCTTAGTACCTGGCTTTATATTTTTGTTTTGAATTGATATTTTTATTTTGAAATGACAGATAAACATTGTAGAGTCATTCGTGAGCAGATGAGTCAAATGAAAGGAAATAACCTTAAGTATTTAGAAAACATTTGACTCAAACTGAGAAATCATCTGATCAGCAATATTTCTTTCAATAAAGTCTCAGAAAATTTAAAGAAAATTAATTTTTATCAGATTTTTACTTAGGCATGAGATTTTAATAGTATATCATTAGCCAAGAGAAGAGTACATTTCTAAACCCGAGTTTGTAGGCATTACTGTTGCTTTAATGGAAATAAAATTTTAATTCTGAGAAACATTTTCTCACTAGGTACGCAGGGCAAAGACTTAGCCTGTATATTAAGAGCAGATGGCAGTTACTTTCTTAACCTTCTAGCTCCTTTGCTGAACTAGAAAGGCAGGTTTTGATTCTTAATTTTAATAAAGTGCTTCATTATTTCTGGAGGTTAAGTGTTCTTTTAAAAAGGAATTTAAGGCATTGTAAAAAATTTATGTGACCTTATAAATGTAGATATCTCCATTTCTTTTTATCATACTGATACACATAGTATTATAATTGCTAGTTTATTATGAATGTGGTTGTGGCCATTTAGTAAAACTAAGAGTGAAATATTAAAACATAATCAAACCCTTCCTGACTTAGAATGTGGATATGGTCCTCCAAATGTTTTTTAACGTTTACATCTTACGATGATGTGATGTTTTGGTGATTTTCTTAAGCTATCTTAGAAATAGATATCGATTGACAGCTTTTTTCTTTTTTTTTCCCCTTGTACCAAGAAGTTATCAATATCTCTCTGTATGGAGGCACTTACGTTCTCTTTAATACAATTAATTTTCCCACTTCTGCTTCAATCACAGTACAGTGTCCTGGAGGAGAGTGCTGAAGTCTTTGCTCAGGGTACAGAATTTTCCCTGGCCTATGCACCAAGATTAATAGGAAAGATAGTGTTGGGTCCATTGACAAGTAATTTATAATCCCATCATCTCCTTTAAGTACCTACTTCTCATGGACATCAGATACCTTAGCTTTGGATGCTATGTTCCACCAGGCTAGAAAGATTTTTATTTTTTCGGGAGAGAGGAGTAAGGTTGATAAATATTAGTTGGGTGTGACCCTAATTAAGGAACTCTGGTAGCATTATGGTTAAGCTAACTATTATTAACTTAACATTATGGTTAAGTTAAACCCACCCAGAGGCTTCTTGGGTGAAAGACCTGGCAATTTGCTCCTGTAAAGGTTAAAGCCTAGAAAACTCTGTGGGGACATTTGGACTCTGTCACATGATGTCACTATGAGTTGAAATCAACTCAGTGGCACCTAACAACAACGAATAACCCTAATAATAATAATAATAAAAAAAGTAAAAAAGAAAACACATTCTCCAAGGCAGAACACTTGAAAATTGTGTAGTCTAAAATGAGATGTGCTGTAAATGTAGAAAGGAGCTCTGGTGGTTCAGTAGATCAGGCATTTGTCTGATAAACCAAATAGTTGGCGTTTCAGACCCACCAGCCTCTGTGCAGTAGAAAGATGAAGCACTCTGCTTCCGTAAAGATTTACAGCCTTGGAAACCCTATGGGGGTAGTTCTACTTTGTCCTATAGGGTTACTATGAGTCAGAATTGACTATACGGCAGTGAGGTGGGAAAGTATAGAATACACACTGGATTTCAAAGACTTCATTCTAAAAGAAGAAAGTAAAATATCACCTTAATATTTTTTAAATTGATGGCATGTTGAAATGATAATACTTTGCATTTATGGGGCTAACTAAATATATTACTAAAATTAATTTTATCTTACTTAGCTTTACTTTTTAAATATGACTACCAGGAAATTTAAAATGACATTTTTTAGCTTGCATTATATTTCTATTAGACATTTGTATTTCAGGGAAACCTATTATTTTTAAGTCCTTTGTCTTTAGTAATTCTTATTATCTTCTGCATGCATTTATCTAGTATAATAATGGTTTTCCTGTTTCTGATTCCTTAAGGTTGAAATCAGCATTCAGAGCAACTTCCAGCCAGGAATGAAATTGGAAGTTGCCAATAAGAACAACCCAGACACATACTGGGTGGCTACCATCATCACAACCTGCGGGCAGTTGCTGCTTCTGCGCTACTGTGGTTACGGGGAGGATCGCCGAGCCGACTTCTGGTGTGATGTGGTGATAGCAGATCTCCACCCGGTGGGGTGGTGTACACAGAACAACAAAGTGTTGATGCCGCCAGACGGTAAGCTTTGTGCGTCCAGGCAACAATCTGGCCACAGTTCGAAGGCTTTTGAGTTACAAACAGTTACCATTTTTAATACTTCTAGTCACTGTAGAGGCAGAGACAACCTTATAACTGTTTTAGCAGAAAGGTCTTCTCTTTAAAAACTGCTTTCTGAGTTTCACTAACTAGAGGGCACTAGAGTGTGGGGGAAATGGGTACATCTTCAGATGCCAGAGGTGGGTCTGACAGCTAAGCCAACAGTGGCCTTTAGGAAATGAAGGCTTATGAGCATAATCCTCAAGTTGCTTTTTGGGGATGGGAAGGCAGAAGGGATGCTGATTGATAGTTATTTTTCTTTAGAAATTTGACATTTTGAGTGGTACTGTAGAACACCTGAAGCAGGCTTCTCTAATAAGTTTTAATCTGTCTTGTTGTGGAAAGACTGTCATGGTGTGAAGCATGGAGGAAACAAAAGACGAGGAGAAGTGACATCACTCATAAGGGAATGGCCAAAGCTTGTACAGATAAGATCGATTTAGTTGCTAGAAAACATTGGTTCTGCACCAGAGCAATTTTACCCCCCTGGGGATGTTTGACAATGTCTGAAGTCATTTTTCGTTTAGCTCCTGGCATCTCATGCAGAGAGGCCAGGGGTGATACTGAACATGCTGCAATGCACAGAGCAGTCTCCTCTTCTCACCCTGCTGCTGCTGCTCCCTGTTCCTACTGCCCCCCAAAAGACTTTTTTTTGGGCTCAAACTATCAGTAGTGCTGAGGTTCAGAAAGAAGGAGCTACATTTTACAAATGCATTAAAGAAATTTGTCTGATTCCATTAATGAGAATAACTGAGTTGCCAGATACTCAAAATCTCAACAATGTATTCTGTTTCCTTATATGATGGTGGCAGCAGCTATACTTCAGAGCTTTTCATGCTAACTCTCAAGCTTGTATAATGCTTTCTTAAGATTTTGTTGTATATTTTTATTTTGAATCAGTGTTTTAGTCTAAAACTTTTGTATGTCAATTCAAAACTAATTTTGAATTTGTTTTTTGAAAAAGTTCTGACATACTTTTGATGTGTGGCCTTTACTACACTTCCTGTTGTATATAATTGAGGGCCTGCTAACAGGGATTGTAATAAATGGCAAGAAGGTTAAGGGTTGCATTTATGTGACATTTATATGGATTGAATCCACTACTTTGGCCTTAGCTAAACATCTAGACGACTTGTGGTCTCAGGAGAAAAAGATCTTGCTTTCTTTCCTTTTTGCCTTGAGTCTTTGCACTTGTTCTTTTCTGTGCCTACAAACCCTTACTTCCCCTTTTCCTTGAGTTGTTCCCTGCCCCCACAACCATCAGCTTATATATTGGTTCTTCTGGAAACCAAAGTCAAACCCTGTCTCATACTCACGTGGCCTTTTGTGCCTCTACTGTTGATCATGACTGCCCTTGTACATCCTTCTTGTTTCTTAATTAATATATAATTTACATACCACAGATTCACCCTTTGAAAAGTGTACAGTTCAGTGGTTTTTAGTATATTCTTCCACATAGCATAATGTATCTCTTGTATTAGCATCTCCTTCCTTTTGATGGTTGAATAATATTGCATCGTATGCATGTAGGCCACATTTTGCTTTTTCACTTCTCTGTTGCTGGACATTTGGTTCAGTGAACTTTCAGTTATGTGGTTCTTTGCTTAATGTCCATTTTACCCTCTGGATGGGAAGGTCCACGAGTGCAGGGACTGGTGTGAGTTCATGCACCTGTGTACTTCAGTGCTAGCACATACTGTCTGTGTTTGAGTAGTTCTCAATAAACAATTATCGAATAATGGAATGATCTACTGACAAAGGTTAAAATGCTGCTACATAGCAGCCAGTAGATGCCCTTAAAGAAAAGAATCAGTGCTATTATCATGGCAAATAGTGCCTTAACTCTCCTTAACCATTCTTTCTTACATTTTGAGTCAGTATCATTTGTATCTTTATATCTGAGGTAATATTTTTAACATTTATATTGAGGGGTGCTTTTTCAGGTGAGTACTGTGAACGTTTCTAATGGGTTAGGTTTTACTTTGACTCCATTCAAGTTGTGCATAAACAGATAGTCAGGTAAGAAGAGAAGTTTTGGGCTAAGCAGTATACTACAAGGCTTTTGCTGATACTGGCTTCCTTTAGTCCCATAGCCAGCCTAAAGTGTTTGTATGTAACACTTTTTGATCTGGCCTTCCATTAAAATAGTCACTGAGTTCAGAAGATGTGATGCAGTGTTTTACTGCTATTCGTAAGGTTTTCAGTGGCCAGTTTTTTCAGAAGTGGATGGCCACATCCTTCTTCCTAGTCTGTGTCAGTCTGGAAGCTCTGCTGAAACCTGTTCACCATGGGTGACACTCTGGTATTTGAAATACTGGTGGTATAGCTTCCAATATCACAGCAACATGTAAGCCACTGCAGTACAACAAACTGACAGATGGGTGGTGGATGATGTAATCTATAATTGTTTAATTTTTTTGTTAGTTCTCAAAGGTGCCTTGGTGGCACAGAGGGGAAAGTATTCGGCTGCTAACTCAAAAGCTGGTGGTTCAAACCCACCAGCTGCTCTGCAGAAGAAAGATGTAGCACTCTGCTTCCTCAAAGATTTATAGCCTTGGAAACCCTATGGGGAAATTCTACTCTTATAAGGGTTGCTATGAGTCAGAATCAACTTGACAGAAGAGGGTTTTTTTTTTTTTTTGTTAGTTCTGAACTGTTATCGAATAAACCAGTCTTGATAGAGTAATTATACAGACAGAATATTGGAAAAATATAATTCTCTGAGATGCAGAGATACTCCAGCTCACACTCTGCCAATGAATGCTACATAGTCAGAGACCTGTGCAGACTGAATGACATATACATAGAGAATGACAGTCACATAGAGAGTCCTGTGTTACTCAGAAAAGGCAACACCTTGGCCACTTACAGTCTCAGGAGAAAAGAGAAAAACATGCACATACTTAGGAGGGCCCAGACAGATGTGTGTTTATCCCAGGGGGCATACACACACTCAGAGGGGTGCAGAGAGGGGAGAGTACAGAGAGAGAGAGAGAGTGAGAATGTAAGTCAGGCTCTGACTGTTGGCTGCAGCCCTGCCATGTCGCTGTCCTTGCCACTAAAGCTTTCATCACTTCGTTCATGACTCACCCTTAAAATTTGACATGTTAGTAGCTAAATGCCCTTGGAGAGGATGTCAGATGGTTTCACTTTGTAGTAGTGAAACCATTCTCTAGTGAATAGTTTTAGAGGGAACTTCCAGGGTACTGAATTTTAGCACTCTAAGAGCTAATGGACTCATTTGGTAAAAATCCATGCTGTTGTTTGACAACAGGGCCTAGTTTATTAATCGAGTCTTCTTTCTCACATGGATGAAAAATGTGGCAGTAGTCGCAGTTTCAGAAACACCAGCAAATTTGTATCCTACTGCCTTGTGCTATTAGGCAAGACGCAGACACACTGAATATGACAAATTCAAAATGAAAAAAAAAAAAAAAAAAACAAAATGGGAAAACCCTGTAAAAAGGGAAACTAGTCATTCACCATTAATGTGACTGAAAGATGTGAAGTCTCTTCAAACAATAACAGGTTATGTGAATGTGAGGATTTCTTTATTGCTCTTTTTAAAGAACTGAAAAGAATTTAGTAGCTAATCAATATTACTTGGAAATCTTTAGTACAGAGAACAAAGTCAGGAAATAGCAGGTTCATGGGGCAAGAGGTTTTATTGATTGCTGTAGTACAGGATAATTATTGCTTTGTAGCCAGAGGCGGCAGTTGTTCCAGAGGGAATAGTGGAATCTATTTTTGAACAAGGATTCTTGTTTGTGTGGTTTTCTGTCTTAGAGAGCTAATATCATTGTAAATTCTGCAACTGTACCTGGTTGATCTTTGTTGTGGTTAGACTTAAAAGGCATCGCAGAATATTAACACGCATTACAGCAATATGTGACACACATTGTTTTTGTTTGGGAAGCTCTGTGGCGATAGAGAGATTTTCTTACTGATCTTAAGGATCAGAATGATATAGAGGGACAAGCACTGTGTTTGGAGACAGAAGATCTGGGATCTTGTCTTGCCTCTACCATTAACTTAGCCATATCGGTGAGTCAACTCCCAACTTTTTCATCTTTGAAGTGAGAGGGTTATAGTATATAATCTCTAAAGAGTGCTTCTTCTGGAATCCCTTGGTTTATGATCCTTGTAGAGGAAGGTAGGAGTGGGTGTCACTATTCTTATTTTATGTGTGAGTCTAGTGATTAAGTACTTGGCTGCTAACCAAAAAAATCAGCAGTTTGAACCTGCTAGTTGCTCTGTGGGAAAATGACATGGCAGTCTGCTTCCATAAAGGTTACAGCCTTGGAAACCATATGGAGCAGTCCTGCTTAGTCCTATAGGGTCACTGTGAGTTGGAGTTGACTCTATGACATCAAGTTTGTTTGTTTTTGTGCAAAGGCAAAGAGAGATGAGGAATGGGATTTATTTTGGAATTAAGGTCCATGGAAGTCTAGCCCAGGAATCTGTATGGAGCATGGAAGAAAAGTTTCTAAGTGACTCTTGGGGATGATAAAATTTTAATGAAATAAACTGGGTTAGGAAATTGTTGGAAGTGTCTCTAATGAAGAATTGTAGATTGTTCCCTGCTGAAACCCAGAGAACTAAGAATTATCCATCCTTGACTGAGTGGTCTGTAGAAATTGGGTTGAGTTAGTTAGCATGAGAATGACAGCCTGAAAATATGATTGGACTTACAAACAAGAAGATTTTGCCCATTCTGTTTAACGGGAGAAGGGAGAGGACTGCCTTTCTTTGTCAGACTAATGCTGGAGCACTCAGTATCTTAAGGATGGATGTTTTAGGATTATCCACAGTAGCCATATATTTTCTGAAGTTACGGCATTGAAAGAGAGAAATTTTATTATTTTAGATGATAGTTTTACAAAGCATGTAGAGTTTTTTACAGTCCCATATTTTCTTGCCTT